TGTTATTACCTTGCTGATGGTATATATCCTCAATGGGCAACATTGGTTCAGACAATCTTTTCTTCCTAAGGGGCAAAGAAGCAACATTTTGCAATGATGCAAGAGTCAGCAAGAAAAGATGTAGAGCAGACATTTGGAGTGCTCCAATCCTGATTTGCAATTATAAGTGATATAGTACGTTTTTGGGATCCTAAAATGCTTGGTAACATAATGAAGAGTTGCGTTATGTTGCACAATATGATTATTCAAGATGAGAGAGATGAGAGTCTCGACTTCGATTATAAAATTTTATCAACCAACTCACCAGTACTACTTTCGTGTAGCAGTAACAATGACTTCCAATCATTTAGGTCTCGTCATTTAGGTATTAGAGATAAGAATGCATATCATGCCCTCCGCAATGATTTAATAGAATATATATGGCATCTTCATGGTGAAAACTAACTTCATCGCATGGACGAGAACATGAACTTTTGGTTGGCTTTTTTGATTGGGAGGTGATTCCGCAAAAGAGGCTATCAGTGTTTGTTGTTGCTCTTAAACTTTATTTACCCACATCATTTTTTTTGTCAGTCAAATGCTGGTAGTGTTTGTTATTAGTGCTCTTCAACCAGTAGACATCCGTTTTTGCTAGTATTATTGGTCTGTTGACTTTGTCAATATCAAAAAATATCAATAGATAAGAGTAAGTCCTGTGCCAAATCCACAAGCTTGGTAGTGTATTTATTCAATTGATAGTAAAGAAATTCTCAAGGAGGTTCCTTGGGGAGTGGACGTAGGCCTGGCGTGCCGAACCACTATAAATCGCAGTGTTTGATTTTCTCTCTCTATCTCTTCTACTTTTATATTGATAATTATTATTCTGTTTTTTTTTATTTATTAAAATTCTGAATATTGTGTTATTTTTAATATTGTGAAATTTTTAATAACCCAATTCACCCCTCTTGGATTACCTAACAGGTTCAAGAATAGAATAAATTCGCCATCCCTCCTTTAAACACATAATGAATGTATGGTTCTATTCCAATTGTTATTTGTTATTGAAAACAAAAATGAAAGGTCCAAAATCACAGAGATCTTCACATCAAGAGTCTCTGATTTTTCTCTGTAGAGCTTAATATAAGTTCATCAAGATTTAGGTCAAGTTTGGCTAAACTAAAAAAGTACATTTATTTTATCTTTTTATCTTTTTTAGGTCACATCAATCAATATTTACTTTCTATTTTTTCTACATATAATACAAAAAAAAATAAAAAAATATACTTATTTAGTCTTTTCAAACTTGGCCTTAAACTCCAGAAACGATGTGCATTGGGAGGAGGCTCTGATAGGTGTCGCAATGCACTTGATGATTGTGGTTTCTGCGTTGTCGAACCTACGTGTAATATAAATCTCAAATATTTAGGATGTGAAAAGAAGTGTAAAAATAATAATAATAATAAATACACAATTGTCAAATTTTACCTGGAAATGTGAGTGATTTTGTTCAAAGCTTTGTTGATTTGCTTTCCCCTCGCAATCCAAGTAAAAGTGTACTGATTTTTTTTTCTTTAATAGATTTTTTTAAGGTAAATGACATTTATTTTCCTTTTGAATAAAGTATAATTAGTCTTATATTTTTTATATAATTATATTAATTTTTTTAATATAATTAATTAAACGACTGAAAGTAATATCAACCATTCATTCAAATAAACAAAAGATAAATATATATTTCGTTAATGAAAAATGCTTGGGACTTCATTTTTTGGGAGATCCCCACAATTCGTTTTAAATCTCAACCATTGATGTATATGTGAAATCCACTCATGTATGTGTAGGGTCCACACCATTAATAGTTGAAATCCAAAAGGGTTATAGGGGTCTCCAAAAAATGGGGTCTCAATCATTGTTGTTTCATTAATACGACTAACAAAATCAAAAAAATACCTAAGTGTTATATGATTTAAAATCTTAAGGGAGGTCAGTGTAATTATGTTAAAAGTATAAGACCAACCGTCTTTTTTTAATCCTCAAGGGAGATGAGTGTAATTTACAAATAACAAAAACCAATTTTGAGAAGTAGGTAAAAAACTATTTTTTTTTAAAAACGTGTAAAAAAAATAGAGAGATGATGTGATCTAAAAAAAAATAAAAAAACCAACTTTTTGGCTTTTAATCCAATTGCCAAAATAGATCCGTATAATTATATTAAAACGTTTTTTTTTAAACCTCGAGGGAGTTTAGTGTAATTTATTATTTTTTTTATACAAATATTTCACTTTTTTAAGCATTTACAATATATATAAATATATATATATATATATATATATAATAAAAAATATCACGAAAAAACAAAAAATAATTTTCAAAAAATAAACCAAACAAGGTCTATACTTCCCAAATGCTTGTCTAGCTATGCATAACTCTTCTTTTTGTCTTCCTCCCTTTTTCCCTTTAACGGGTAATTTTCATCCGTATAATGGGTAAGGATGGTGTAAGATGATGTTTAGTTCATCGAAATAAATATAAAATAGGATAATCATATTCTATCATAATGTTCAAAAAAATATTATTTCTAACATTTGTTTTATTAAAAATTAATAATAAATTATAAATAAAATCATCATCTACTTGGTGAATGATCATATTGCGTGAATGCTCTTGAGAGAGGAGGAAGGAACTAATGTCCAAGTGTTTTTGCAGCAAAAATCAATTTTGTCCCTAGAGTGGGGGCATGTTGAATGAGATTTATGGAAGATTTCCAAGTTATAGCTTATTATATGATTGATTGCAAGATACTTTAAATAGTATTTTTCTATAAATTTTTTTTTTTTTGATCAAAAGAAAATTCCATTAAAGATAGCCAAACGACATTCACAGAAGAGTTTATCCAATAAATAAAGCATATATAAAACAAAGTAAAAATATTATAAGAAATACAATGGTGAAAAATTATAAAAATATCCAAACGTACAATAGTGCTCGTGTTCGTACTACGAAACAGAACCGATCATAAGAGTTCGGCGTTAAAACATGTCTGAGATAAATCATAGGTTACAATCACAGAATGGGTAAGTTACAACCACAGATGGACTCTAAGAACACAACCAAAAACCAAATAAAACAAAGCAAAAATAGGAAAAAATGACTTGACCTCAGACTCAAAACAGCCATATCCAAGGTAGATCTGGTGGCGGAATGTTGGTGGCAACTTCAGTGTGAGTCGGCGGAGGGGGAACAAGGCAAATCTAGCATTGGCGGGAAAGGGAGAGGAGAATTCCAACATTAAACTTCCACCAAGAGGGGAAGAACACCACCCATGGAAGGAGAGAGTGGGAAGACAGAGCTCCCATAGTTTATTGAACCAAAAAGGGTGCAGAAGAGAAAAAGGAGGGGAGGGAGGAGAGAGGTGGCCCGAGGCCCGCTCCCCCTCCCCAAGCGGCGTTCCAAGCAAAACCCTAATGTTGTGTTTGGTTGGGAGATTTGAGAAGGGATTTAGAAAAATAAAAATAAAAAGTTATGTGAAATGTGAATAAAATATACCTACATTTCACATAGTTTCATACACTTTTCCCTTTTCCTTTTCAAATTTCCCAATCAAACACAGCATAAAGGAAAGAATGTAGAGAGAGAGCTCTCGCATTTTTTCTATGATTGATTGTGCTACAATTGAAGCAAATATCAATGGTGTGTATATATATATCCATCATGTCATCATTTTAGAACCAAGAAAACACTTTTCTTTCGCACTGAGCATGTCAGATTACAAAAGACTACTCTGGAACACTAAATTATGCATCTTCTACTCTTTATGCCTCTCTGTAGATGTCGAAACACGCTACAAAACATAAGGTTTTTTATTTGCCTCTTCAATCGAGTTTTGCTCTTTCTAGTCTAAAGCGTATGCACATGAGAAAACAAACCAACGATGACCCATCTGGCCATCTCTCATTTAGAAGTGTTCATTGCAGAGCAATTGCAGTGGCAGAGCAGTATCAGGATAGGAACCAACTCCATTCACTTGGTATTGCCCTTTATATCTGGAAGAGGGCAACGATGAAGTGACACCAATAAGCTGTTGTTGTGAGATTGGGGCATACCTAGGGCCAAGTACTTCTAGCGAATGATGCGAAGGATGTGGGGGAATGGATTGGACATAGTGGATTGCAAGAGAAGGGTCTTGTTTTCCGTTTTGCCAGCTGGGAGTGTGGGATGCGGCAAGTCCCACAGGCTTGTATTGCGCTGCCAACTGAGCTGTCCACATCCGTTGTTGCTGCTGTTGTTTTGGCGATGCAGCGTTGCCCAAATAAGGAGGGCCCAAAATTGAGCTTCCCAGGTATGGAGGCGGTTGCATCTGGACCTGTAATAAATAACGGATGACGAATGCTTGGTGCTCATGATGGCATTTACATTCAATAAACCGAAAAATATGAATTATTTACTAACATAGAAACCTAACTGGATAAGAACTTAAAAATTGATCCACAAAAGAACCTTCATTTGGCCGGTGCTTATGGAGTTGGATATTACCCATCTACTATTGAATTGGCTCTCACTATCCGGTTTGGAGTGAGCTAAATAAGGCAAAATGCCAAAAAAATCCTTTTGTCATCAGTTGAAAAAGTTAAAAAGTCACTCAACTTTTTCATTCACAAAAAACAACTTTTTTACCAACTTTTCAAATGCACCAGCTTTGTTAGATTCTAAAAAGGCAAATAACTACTAAAACAGACAATAACGCCAAACTCCAAATTATTGGATACAATGATTTTTTATAAACAGGGTCCATCAATTGGTTCATTGCGTGACAGGACTGAAGTAGGATGAGAGGAATAAGAAATGACCATTGCAAAACCATGCTTTCAGTGCAGTAGCATTCCAAGGCAGACAAATAGACAGAATTAAAAAGAGAGCAAATCACCTGCTTTGATGCAGCTAATGATAGATGGTCACTGAAAGGAGTGGAGGAAAACCGATTTTGGGGGAGAGAGAACTGCATGATTGTGTGATTTTGCTCGAGTGATTGCATGTAAGGACTGTGAAATTGTGTCAATGGATCCAATCCCCCTCCGATTTGATCAATACGATTAGTAGCTCCCACCCCACTACAACCACGACCACCACCACCTCCAGCTGACAAGGACAAGAAATCATAACACTGCAAAAACCAAAATATGGTTCAGAATTATACAAAAGAAGAAACTTCGATTGATTCAGTAATGGCATTACCTGCTTTTGTGGAGAGTTAAGAGGCAACAATGTGGAAGCCTGTTGCTGATCTTGAAGAAGCCTCGTGTGGAAAAGATTAACATTCCTAACTTCATCTGGATTCTTCTCAGCAGGAGAACCAACCGTGTTGTATGCAGAAACGGCTCCATTTAGGCCAGTTCTCACCCCGTTTAGGCTGTTGGGTGTTGAAAGAACTCCGTTTGGTCCTTCATTCAGTATCAACTGAGTAGGCTGCATAGGCAACCTGCCTGTTTTCTCAGCAATTTCCAAGACCTTAATGAGACGGCATATGTAAACATGAGCTGAACATCTCTTCCATGACTTCTTCTTTCTAGCAACTAGAGCTCTAGAATCCTGTATTATCAATAACAAACCATAAAACTGGTCAAATACTTGTAAATATTAAATGCGCCGTGAAAGAACAATAATTTTTATTTACCTTTACAGTTAAAACACCATTATCCAATGAACCAGGTTGGGTTGCAGAAGCTGTCATACCCAACCAAGCAGGAATCTTAGGGGTGGATAACCTGAAAAACAAGTAAATGCATGAGACTGGAAAGGAAATTAAAAGTATCCTGAAAATTGAATAAAATTAAGAAACAAAATTACTTCAAGGAAGGTCTCTGAGTGCCATCACCATTGGATGCTGCTGAAGACAAGCCTGGCCACAATGCCGAACCTAAAGATCAAAAAACCAATTTTTATGCCAAGGTCAGAATACGGATATGCAAAGCTAGAGCCAACAACCAGGTTCTGAACTCTAAGCGAGCACGCAGTGAATATAAAATAACAACTGTTATGCAAGTGAGAAGTGCACCACTATTTTTACTCTCCTTCAGGGTGTGATGTAGTTCATGTTGACTACTGACAACTGCAGCCTGAACAAATAATCCAAAACCGCCACTTTCAGTCAATCCAACTAGTTTCTGTTTAAAAAATGATTCTGAAAACTCAACCAAACAGGGTGACCTAAATTGGAAACTTACTTTTCCCACTGCAATCTCGGGTTTTCTCACACAAGCTGCAGCTTCCTCATGTTTGGGCAGCTTAGAGCTGCAAGAAGATAAATAAAGCATAAGACATATTAATATAAAATAAATAAAAAAAAACAGAAAACATAAAGTTAATGCACCAAAGCTGAAAGCTACTCACCCAGTTTCCAGGCTTAGTTCAGATTGAACATTGCAACCAACAGAACTGCAGGCTTGTTTCCCACAGATAGGTTCGCTCTTTGACATTGGAAACATTGCTTGGACATTTCTTTGAGAAATGGTATTATCCAATTCTGTAAGCAATTGGGTGCTGTTGGGAAAACCGGGTTGTGATGATTCCTTCAAACATTTGACTTCTACACTGTCTTGAGCCGATCCTTCTAACAATGAAGGATTGACAGCCTCAGCCTCAGAAGTAGTTGAGAGGCAAAGTGACTTTGAGTCCTCTTCCTTTTCAGGAGCGGCATAATCTGATGAATTAAATAATTTAACATAACAAGACAAAGAATGCAAAGAAGAAAGAAAAATGAAATGACATATATACAAATCAAACCTTCACATGCAGGCCTTGAACTCTCTCCCTCAGGCGAAGGATAAGATTTTGGTTTTTCCAATTCACCATCCAAGCCATTCTTGTTATTGTTTGGGAACATATCCGCCAAGGCATACAGAGTCTCTACCACTTCTTCCTCATCTTTTGTGATTGGCCGGCTTGGAGATCCATCTGGATCTTCTGGTTGCTGCAAATTCAATTCCGGTGTTAAACACAAAATGGCATATTGAGGAAAATTGTAAAACAAAATCTGAAATTCGGAGGAAGAGATTACTACTACGTTCAGTCTGGATTTCTTTATGCCCGGTAATTCAACTCCATTGGTCCCATGGTTTGTCTCCTTCTTATCTGGGAATGGTGGAGAAATGGATTCACGGTTGCGCTTCTTCATGGCTGTAAATGTAAAAGAATAATTCCTCAACCTTATTAAAATCCAATCAAGTATAAATTATTGAAATCTAAAAATCTATCGAGAGCATTCAATTTTCAATCTTTTTTTTTTTTTTTTTTTTATTTTCTGATTTAGACAAGATGTGATAAATAGATAGATGAAAATTGCAGAATACATAAAGTATATAATATCAAATAAAAATTACAGAATCTTTCAATCTGGAAAAGAAAGGAAAAGCAAAGGAACAGTTCGGCAACAAAGCATCAAAGATGAGGAAAGTTCCAATTAGACCCACCAGATAGAGCCGAATTAAAATCTGTGGGCTCCAACTAACTAATCCGAAAATCAATCAAAAAACTCCAATTGACAAAAAATCAAACAAAAAGTAGAAAAATTTATATTCTCGTTTCACAAATTACACACCTGACCGTAGCTTCCGAGGAACAGAGGCATGATCAACTGTGTTGCATTCATGAAAAACCTTTTGGGGAAACCTAAATCTCTTGCTAATACTTGTTGTGTTACGAATCTCATCTTCGAATTCAGACCCAGCACAACCCATTTCGCCGTTTTCGTTACTAGAATTCACTTTACCAACAACGCTCAATCTTCTCATTCTTTCTTTCTTCAATTTCTTCGAGAAAACAGTGCCCTCAAAATTATTATCCATACCTTCAAATCAAAACAAACATTCACAAGAAATTATATGAGTTTTGAGAAAAATCGGAGAAGGGACAACAAAGAACAACCCAGAACAGGGCAGATAATAGGAAGACACCCAACATCCGCAAATGCTCATCTCAAAACCAGGAGAAAAATAAAAAGAAAAAAAAAATAAAAAATAAGAATAAACAGATAAAGACAGACAGCCATTGATGAGTTTTGTTGTTTAGCTACAACAAAAAAACGTAAAATTCAACATGTAAATTTGTCGTCAAATGATTACCAGATTGCTTAATAACTTGTCGATTCGCAGGCGAGGACCGACTCGCTCCTCCACGCCTCATGTCTCGATTCTTGTCCATTTCCGAGACGATAACAGAAACACAAACATCGAATTGAAAACGGCTTCGACGGCCCAAAATTCGATCGAACCCACCTCAGATAATGCTTCCAAAAACAAACCCTTCAGATCTTTACTCTGTTTACAGAATCGAAGTTCGTGCAATGACAGAAAAAAAGAGAAATCAGAGCTTCGAGAAACGGAGAAAAAAAAATGGTAATGAAGACAAGAAAACAGAGAAAACAAAATATGAAGAACTTGGAATCAGCATTTGGTTTCAGTTCTAACCGAAAATTACGCCGAAAGTAGAGAGGGGTTTGGGTTTTCTTCTATACTAAAGATAGGCAAACGAATGATGGATCGATTTAGTTAGCCCAGATATCTCTGCTTCTCTTTCTCCAAACATACATACGTGTCTTTGTTTTCTCTCTCTATATATGCGCTTATTTGTTTCTTCTCTCTCTCTCTCTCTCTCGCCGGATAAGAAAGGGAAGAGCTGGTGAAGAAGCAGAGACAAAAAAGTAAGGAAATAGGTGGTGAAAAGAGAAGAAAGAAAAGCGAATTCGTCCTTTGTGTTCAGATAGAATCGGGTTCTTCACGAAATAAAGCGCGAGCACACGAGAGAGAGAGAGAGAGAGAGAGAGAGAGAGAGATTGCAAGCAAAGAACTCACAAGAAAGAAATTAAAGGTGATTGGAAGCATAGAAAAAGGTAACAAGAAAAAAATAACTGCTGAGAAATACAGTGGATATACTGGATTTCATTCATTTAATATACATATATACGAATAAAGAATATAAATTCAAAAACACACATTTAATCCACGAATCTCGTAGAACAAAACCCAGTTCACTGAATCCAATAAATCTCAGTCTTTTCACAGATTATACCCACCCAAACCAGATATTCCCACGGCAGAGTTTTTCGGATTTTCATGAAATTGTTAATTGAAAGAACAAGAAGCCCAAAACATTTTCAAGGACAAAATGAAAAATCTTCAATCTGGACCCAGTTTGAGAGAAGTACTGAGAGAGGATGGGAAAATTAAGTGAGAGTCTGAAAATGGAAAGAAAGAAAACAATGGAAGAACAAGTAAAGAACCTTCATTCAGTTCCCGAGAAGAATCAAAATAGTATTTTTCACATTAAAATCTCTCTTCACATTCCAAACCGTTCAGAGAACTCAGAAATCACTGCACTGCACAACAGAGACAAATAAAAACCGAAGCTCTCTCTCTCTCTCTCTAGCCCGAGACCAACATATATCTCTCTCTCTCCATCACATGCGAGCCATCAAGAATGCTCTTTTGTACTGTTACTAAAACTTATAATTAGTGACATTTTTTATGACAATTTTCAAGCTATCGTTGAAAATTAACAATTAGTGACATTTTTTCATTGTGTTTGATGAAAAATGTTATTAGTTATCGTAGGACCTATTAGACAATAAATCCACTTATTAGGACTTACACATGAGTCTCCCTTTAAACAATTGTAAAATTAAGGGGTTTTTTTTTCACATCTTTGGCATTGAAATCTCCATGACATATCTTTATTTTGTTATTCAAACCAAATTATGTTGAAAAAGATATTATATCTTCTCTGTAAAAAGCATTTTTTTTTTTTTTTAATTGACACCAGAGTGTATAGATCAAAATCCAACTAATCTCCAAGGATATACAAGCCTAATCTCCGAGGATATACAAGCCTATCTTTGAAGCATATCTTTCTTCCGGTAAAACATCTTATTTATTCTTATACCAGCTTTTAAACTTGCTGAGCACGTTTGGATTTTTTTAATTTTTTAATTTTTTTTCAAAAAAAAAAATAAATTAATTTTATATAATATTTTTTAGATAAATTATAAATACACTGTTTGAGATTTACTTAAAATACAGATTACTCTCTGTAGTTTGAAAAATTATAAATATTCCTTATTAAAAAAATTTATTTAACAGAATTAATTAAAAAAAATTCATAATTGCTCTCATATATAATAATAAAATTATTTAAATTATTAATTCAAACATATTTATCACATCATTAAAAATTGTTAATCGACTTGATAATTTATTAATAAAAATTGTGATTTGTTGTGAAATTAGAAACCTCAGGAGGTGGAACGTAATTTCCAGAATCACGTGAGTGATTTGTATTTTAATCGAACCTCAGGAGGTGTATTTGTGATTTACCCTATTTTTTTATATATATAACTATTAATTTATAATAAATTTCACATTTTAAATATTTATCACACTTATTTTTATTTTGATATTTTATTATAGATTAATATATATATATATATATTAACTATAGTAGAACGGTACAAAAATAAATTATAAATTTTAAAGTTTAAATCACGATTAGAAGATAAAATTGTATAAATTGATATAAATCAATATAATTTTAACGAATTAGACAGTATTTTACACCGCTCTAACACTGTCCACCTTGCAGTTCATGCAAATGCACTAAACACAGACGATCAAGATTCATGCTCGCAAATCTGGGACGGGGCTCTCTACTTCCTAGGATGAAAGTGATATGAATGTGGAAAAGAAAAATAAAACAAAACCAACAAAAGTTTTAAAAGTTTTTTGGAATTAAGATATTAGGAGTAAAACAATAGTTTGTTATACACTGCATTATTATTCTTTCCATCATTCTTCGCCTTTTTTTTTTATCTTTTATTTTTTAGAAATTTGAGATAATACAAGTCAAGTCATATACACATTATTATATATATATTTGGTGTTTGTAATTATTATTATATATCGTCAATCACCCAAAATCTCTTTTTTAAAACTATTCTTATAGATTTAGGTGAAATATTAAATCAGTAATTTTTTAAAAAATAATTATAAATTAATAATACATTTTATAAATATTAATAATTAAATATATGAAAATTGAAATTCTTTTAATAATTAAATATTAAACTTTTCAAAAGTTTCAATAAATTGTAATTTCCACTAGATTTTATGTGCTCTAGTATTTTTTTTTTCTTCACCCACTTAAGTATACGAAAAGTTTGGCTACAAAAGAAAAAGTGCACTTATTTCATCTTTTTATCTTTTTTGGGTCACATCAATCAACATCTCCTCTCTACTTTTTCTACACATAATACAAAAAAAGTCAAAAAGTGAACTTATTTAGTCTTTCCAAACTAGGCCTTAATTTTATTAGAATGAAAAAAAAATATTAATATTGTCTCATTTCGTATTATATTTTTATATTTATTGAATGTATCATAATTAATTCACAAGTTTATTAAAAAAAAAACTAGGGTTCGAGAACTTGGGACCTAGAAATGGGTATATATAAGGGTAGGTATCTGCCCGTTGGCCTGTTCGACCTAGTTCTATTTTTTTAGGATTTGAGAAAGTTGTTTTAGTCTATAAGGCTGGGCCAGGTTAACATTTTCAACCCAATATATTAATAAGTTGGGTTTAGAATTTATATTTTTAACCCAGTCTAGCTTAGCCCAGCTCGCTATTAAATCAATTAATTAATTAATTATAATATATTAAAAAATATATTTTTTGTTGGGATCTAAATTTTATCTTTATTAATTTTATTAAAACTCACATTTGTAGTGATATTTGATTGAATTTATTGAAGAAATCTTTCAATTTATATTTATTTAAGAAATATAATGTGTAATTGAATTTAATTATGGAATTTTTAATTTTTTTAAACATATAGCCCGACGGGTCGACTTTAAATTTATAATTATTTTTTGATCCATGCTTTGGCAGAAGTAACCGTCCATAGGTATATATAGTGAAGATTGAATTGATGAAATGTAAGATTCACACATGGAATGAATTTGAGTTATTAATATTAAATTCTAAATAATTTTTGAGATTTTATGTCTGAACTCATAACATTACTATAATTAAAAATATGTTGGATACACCAAAACATGCGAATTCATCACCCATTGTGGTGGTGATCATTGGGCCAGTGGCCCGTCTAGCTCAATTCTATATTTGGCCCATAAATTTGGATTGGATTCATATTTTGAACTTGTTTATTTTTCCATTTAAATCTCATAAGAATGAAGAGTTCAACACCAACACTTTTAAACTTAATTTTTAAATTTAATGATATAACAATTAATTGAGATATTAAGACTTTATTTAGAAAGTTGAGTTGGCTATTTTAGTTCAGGTTAAAAAATTCGTTTGAGTAGATTTTTTTTAACTTTTGTGGGAGAAAAAGTGAAATAATTATAGTTTAAGTGTGACATCTTGTCTTATTGACTTTTTATCCTATTTTGTCTTTTTGTGACTAATTTAGCAAAAAGTCAAATTAGCCAACATCACAAACGACACCTTAAGGCAATACTGTCTTTCATAACTTCTTTAATCATCAATCAATCATATCACTTACACATCATTAGATCTACAAAAAGGGTTTAGAAAATATACTTATATATCATTATCTAAGAAATATTTTTTTTCGCTCTATTTGTAAAATATTACTCCATAAATTACGATTAAATGCCTTTCAAAACAAACAAAAGACTTTTTGACCAAATTATTTTATAAATGGTTGACCTCTCAAAAATAAAAAATATTCACTTGATCTAATGCCTCATAACCTTTTTAGTCTGAATTTTTCAATAATTATCTCTTTTTGTTATTGACTTAAATAATTCTATAAACGACCATATTTATGGCATGGTCCATCAAATTTATTGAGTACAGTCAATTGAGATTTTTTTTTTTATAATTCAAAATATTCAATTTGTATACTGTGCTCATTGATGCAACTAGGTAAGCTAATCCAACATTTGTGAGTATATGATCCATTTATATTTAAATAGAAAAGAGTAATTTATTTTAAAATTTATATTTATCATCAATTTATTTAATTATTTTTTGAAATGAGAGTGAGAACGTGGATGTGATGATTTGATTCCGTGCGCGTCCGCGAAATATTCATGCATGTCGCGTGACACATGGGGTGCCTTTGGTTGAAGTAACAATTTTACCCCTCAGTTCAAAATGGGAATTAGGCAATTTGTTGGTTTAATATTTGCAACTTTAAATAATTAATTTTCTTTACACACAAAAAGACATGTTTATATAGTGTATGGTTAAAAAAATTATTTTTTTAATAAAAAATATATTTTATTAGGCTTTGTTTGGCATATAGAGTTTGGGCTAAAATAGTCACAAAAAAAATAAAATAGGCTAAAAACTTAATAAAACAAAATATCACATCTAAATTATAATCATTTCATTTTTTTTTTCTCAAAAAAATCAAAAAAATCAAAAAGTCTATTCCAAATAAAGCTTGTTAGAGCATCTCCAATGATAAGTTATTTGAGCTGCCATTGCTAAAATTTGACAAGAGTTCTCAAAAATGTTGCTCCAATGGGCTGCTATAACCATTGTCAAATTTGACAAATGCCATTTCATCTCTCAAATTTGGCAACAAGTTTTGCAATTGCCAAACTTGCCACATCATCAAAATAAACAGAATTTGGCTCCAAAAATTCTCATGAAAGAAATAAACACAATGGAACAATAATATACCAGAGATGGAACAAATAATATAAAAAAATAAATAAACACCGTGGAACAAAAAATATTTAATTTTTCAATTTTTTTTTCATTTTTTATATTTGTCTAGTCAGGTATAATGAAAATATATATTAAAAAAAATTTACAAATAGTTAAAAAAAGGTCACAAAAAAAAATCACTAAAAAATTATATCTAAACAATACCTATAAATTTAGAGAGAAAGTTGGTTGAGATTTGCCAAAATAGAATATGTACCATTGGAGCACCATTGCTATATTTGACAAATTACTACTATTCATTGCTAAATTATAACAATAACAATGGTATTATAGCAAATACCATTAGAGATGCTCTTAGCCCTATGCTAAAATAGTCAAAAAGTCAACCCACATCCCAAACGAAGGCTAAAATAGAATTGTCATTCTTAGGTTTTTCATTCTCTTTTAATAATAAATGATAATTTTATTTATAATATGTTTTATATAATTTTTTGGTGAATCAAATATAAGATTAAATTTTATGATAGAATAATTATTTTATTTCAATTTAATCTAGTGAAACAAATAACGTTCAATACATTTGGTAAACAACTTCCATTACTTACAAATAATTTATCATTTTAACAGATTTTTTATTTCTTTCAAACCATTTAGTTTAGGTTTTGGCTAAGATAAGTTGTATTGGGCCCTTATTTTTTGGCCTATTAATAC